CTGTATAGAGGTAATTTAATAATATTAAATTCTGTTTTATAAAAACGGGTGCTTATAAAGAGGTGTGACTGTATAGGCGGTGACTGTATGGAGGTCTGACTGTAGTTTTGTTTAATGTATTACTTATATTATTTTTTTATGCTAAATTATATTAATATATATACAATAAAAATTGGTGTTTGTACAATCCATATACTGTACAATATATAATATACCATATAAATTATAAAATAACTATAATTATAATTTTAAAAAAAAATTATTAAAAATAACATAAACTTCCTATGTCTGGGATCATAAACTAATAAATCATTTAAATAATGAATTATTTCAGCTTCAAAATTAAAATTTATAAAACAATTTTTTTTTTAAAAAAAAAAAATAATTACCTGAGCTTACTTAATGATGTTATTATTAATTATGCGTTGATATGACTTGAATCCTTTAGTGTATTCTGCTGCTTCAATTGCATTTTTAAAGCTGATAAGGTATTCTTATCAGTCGAGTAAGTGTATGTGAACGTTATGATAAGTTGAATTATTGCATCCATCATAATATGATCTCTGTTTCTTGCCAGTGTACAAGTTTGCAGTGTACTTAATGCAGAATTAATATATAAACTGAGCATTTAGTACTTATATATTGTATGTTGGAGAAGTTTAAAAATAAACATATATACCTTTAAACTTGCAGATGAAAAATATCAAATACATTGTTCTTTAAAACTCCTTTTACATTTTCATTTGAAATACTATATAATTTATCATAATTGGACGTAGATATCTTTATATTATCGTCAAATTAATAACATAACTTCTTTAAGAATAATGAGTTCCAAAGTTTCACTGGTGATGGAGTCTGAGCAGCAGATGTCTTTTTATCTAAGTTAGCATCGTCAAGTACATCAAAAGTTATTTAGAAGTTAAATAAGAAGGAAAATTGCAAGAACAAATACGCAAGACTTACCAGATGTTCTTTTTGCTCATAATATTTGTTAGATATCAGTAAAAATAATTTAGTTAATCCAATTAGAAATAAAAATTTCGATCTTATTAATTAGATTTCGATCTCATTAGGTGACATCACGTGAGGCGACAGCTATGATAGGTAAAAAAAATTTTATCGGGAAGCGCAGTCTATTATATTAAACACTGCTATATATTTTTTACGCTTATAATGATCATGTGTAAGGAATAATAGATCACATTGGTGTATGCAATTTGGGCGTGTTATTCGGCTAAATCTTTTCCCACATTCTTAAGCTTTAATATGTTTATTCTTATTTAAATTCAATCATATGTGCATTACATCATCCTCCAGAAATTTGTCCAAGCATAAATACTTTGACTGTCTATATATGTAATCAAAAGAGAAATGTCATCAATAACAATAAAATACAAATATAGTATTATGTTGTATCAATGGATCAATTATATCAAGCATAACTTCTCATTATATGCTAATAAAAGAAAATATTTTTTTTTTAAAATCCATTTTCTTTTTTTTTTTTAAAAAAAAAAAAAAGAAAAAATATTAATATACAGTATATGCCCCAACAACATAAAAAATGATTTCAATAGCTCCATCGGGATATTCTTCTAATACCTTAATGTATGTAAGTTCAAAATTTAATATGCAACTGCGGCCTAATATTAAGATCACTGTTGCTTTAGTTTTTTTCCCTAAGAGCGATTCTACAAAGGCATTATACCAACTTCAGATCGCAAATTAAATCAACTTTGATAACTTCCAACTCACTAATTAGAACTAGGAAAAATTACACCTTTGTAAAGAATGGATGTAACATCACTTTTAGTAGAAGGAGCACGAGAGGATCCAGTAATAAATGCCGTGTAATTGGTTCGTTCCTTCGAAACTCGATATTCTAGCTGCATAATCCATTGATCTCATCTATAAGTTGGATTGACATTGGAAAAAAAAATTTTTTTTTTTTACCATTTAACGTTAATAATTAAGTGTTCTTTTGATATGGGGAACTGTAGAATATCCAAAACGTCTGCATTCATAATAATAGGATTTTGATTTGTCAATTAAAAGAATACAGAAAGATTACAATAACAATAGGTTTCTTTATTCGTGACATTCATTGAGGTAACGAAAACGGGCTTTTTATTAAATTCGCAAAACTATTCTCTTGTTTCATAGGCATACGATTATGAATAAAACGAAGCCTTAGTTCGACTTACTTTCTAGTGTTAAAGCAAAGACATTTCAAGAAATTCGTCAAAATTCTGTCTTTTTTAATTCTTTATCCGCTTCAACAACACGAAAGATTATTGTTTTATCTTTCTGCGCTTGAACATATTTAATTCCTTGGAAGTAGCCATACAGCACCATACAACTTTAACTTTTTTTTTTAATTTTAAAAAATTCCAAGTTGTATATTCTCTTCGGATATTGTTGATACCATGCGTTTCACAAAGATTATCTCCGTAAATCTGGAGGATTAAAAATACAAAGTCTGCGTTTCTTTATAGAATTTTGGTTTCGTGTTATTTTAGATCCTTTAAGGGTTTCTTCAAAGTCCTCCTTTGAAATTGACTGCCTTGAAGTTGTAATGATATGAAGATTATCAAATACGTTGTTCTTTAAAGCTCCTCTTACACCTACTTCATTTGAAACATCATATGATTTTAATAACTTTTTAAAAGTTGTACGTGGATAGCGTTTAAAAATGTCGTCAATTTGATAAGAGTTTTAAATTGATAAGTACCAAAGCTCTACAGGAGATGGAGTTCGAGCAGTAGATGATTTAATAGCGTAGTGCTTTTATCTAAGTCAAGGTAATAAATTGCTGGAGGAATTGCTGATAAAAATTCCAACTTGGTTTTGGCTGTAAGTCTTCGTTTCTTCCCTTCTTTCCTAGAATCCAATGATTATTGAGCAAAATAAGCAGTGTTTTTATTACAGTATATTATTAACGAAAATAAAACATTACTTACTGGAAGATGCAGGTTGATTACTCCTTTCAAAACGTTTGAAAATCTTTCTTATTTTGTGAGCTTTCTGTATTTACCAGTCATGAGAAAGAGGATATTAGTATCATACTATAATTTTGTATAGAAGGTATATAGCCTGTTCCTCCTCCAGAAGCACCAGACTTTACCAACAACAAAGTTGAATTGATGGCTTGAAATGGATACCAAGCAAAAAGCACAGTAATTATCCCGAGTCAGAACGGATCCTCCTAGGAATTATCTGACTTTGCAAAATAAAGCAAAACAACGCATCTTTTCTTTAGATTCTCAAAACTTTAAAAGCCCAAAAATCATCAAGGTAATGCCAGTCGTTTGAAAACTATGATGAGGGTCTCGACAAAAATTCAAAAAACCTTGAAAGATGATTTACTGCATCGTTTCTTTAGACAAGGAAATCAAAGGTTAGAAGCTAAATAAGAAGGAAGATTGCAAGATAAATACTGTTTGCAAGACTTACCAGAACGATTAAAGTGTTCTTTTGATATTCTTTAGATATTGAGTTAGATTAGTGAAATATTTTGAATATTTAGTTAGAAATAATTCAAAGTATAATTCAGTAAAATGTGAGACGCGTTTCTTAACCATCCGATCAGGAGATTGGCTGCGATCATCGCCTTCCTGATCGGATCGCCATCTCCTTTAAAAAGACGCGTCTCACATTTTGATGCAGAAGCGTATTTTTCTTCTTCAAAGTTTAATTTTTTGAACTATACTTTGAATTATTTCTAATTAAATATCCAAATTATTTTAACTAATCTAACTCAATATCTAAAGAATATCATGAGCACCTCAAAAGAAAACACTAGCAGTTCTGGTAAGTCTTGCAAAAAGTATTTAACTTGCACTTATTTAGCTTCTAACTAACCTTTGATTTCTAGTCTTTACTTCTTATCTAAGGAAACGAAGCAATAAATCAACTTATCGTGGTTTTTTGATTTATTGTCGTGACGAGGTCATTAACTTATCACCGGTTTCAAAAGAATGGTTTTACCTTGATGATATTTGGTCTATAAAGTTTTTGAAAGAAGCGGAGAATCTCGAATCAAATGAAATTAATTTTGATGATTTAAAAGAAACGGTGCATTGTTTAGTTTTTATTTTGCAAAGTTAAGGTGGCTCTAGAAGGATGCGTTCTGCCTCAGGGGAGAATTACTGTGTTTGTACGCTTGGTATCCATTCCAATCTTTCAATTCAGACACCCTAACTTTGTTGTTGGTAAAGTCTGCTGCTTCTTGAGGAACAGGCTATGGTAACCATTAAATTAAAAATTTTCCCATTATACTAATAATAACTTTCTCATATCAGGTAAATACAGAACGTTCACAACATAAGAAATTTTTGCAAACGTTCTGGAAGGGGGTAATTAAAGAATGTGAAAAAAAAAATCAACCTGCAACCGGTAAGTAATGATTTATATTCGTTAATAATATGTTGTATTAAATATTACACATTTATTTTGCTCAATAATCATTAGAACCTAAGAAAAAAGGGAAGAAACAAAGACTTACCGAGCTGGAGTTTTTATCAGCAATACCTCCAACAATATATTATCCTGACTTAGACAAAAGCACTACAACTACTAAGTCATCTACAGCTCGAACACCATCTCCAGTAAAGCTTTGGAACTCATTTCTTGAAGAAGTTAATTCTTATCAACTTGATGATAATATTAAACGATATTCGCGTCCAATTTTTAAAAGTTATGATAAATCATATGATATTTCAAATGAAGAAGATGTGAGAGGAGCTTTAAAGAACAATGTATTTGATAATCTTCATATCATTACAACTTCAAGACAGCCAATAGAGGTTTTCAAGCGAATTTCAAAGGAGGATAATGTTATTGGAGAACCTGATTTTATTTATAAGCGAATTGGAAAATTACTTTTACCAATTGAGGTTAAGACCCTCTGGGTATTATATTTAGAAGGTGATGAATCCCTTCATAAGAGATACGAATACGATTTGGAGAGGAAAAAATGTGAAATTTTACCAGCAAACTCTAGTCGTGAAATTTCCGTTGTCGATATTTTACGCCAAATTTTTGGGTACTTAGTTGCCAACCAATTGCAATATGGTATTCTAACAACGTATAATCAACATTGGTTCCTACGAAGACCTAAAAACGAACCACGTGCTCTTTATATATCTCCTACAGTAGAAATAGAATCAAAGGATCCGTCAATCTTCCAGTGCTACTCCTACATACAACATCTGTCTAGAACAGATACTGAATGTCCAAGTCCAGGAGAAACATCACCCTCATCACCATCCAGTTTTTCTGACAATGAAAGTTCAGATAATAATATCTCGTCGGGTTCGGATTATGAGGAATCACCACCTTCATCACCATCAATTTTATACGACAACAAAAGTTCAGATAATGATATTTCGTCGGTTTCGGATTATGAAGAAACATCAAAGGAATCTAAACGAACCCGAAAACAAAAAGCTATAAAGAAGCGCAAACTTTGATGTAATTTAATCAGAAATAATCCTCAAGATTCGTGATCATCTGTGTGAAACGCATGGTAGCAGAACTAATATGAATATAAAAACTTGGAACTTTTTTAAATTTTAAAAAAGTAAAAAATTGTGGTTATGGTGCTCTAAAAATGGCTAACTCTTGAGAAATAAATAAGTTACGTGCAGAAAGCTACAATAATTTACCAAGTGTTGAAGAATCGGATAAAGAATTAACAAAGAGACAGAATTTTGACGAATTTTTGAAAAGTCTTTGCTTTAACGCTAGAGAGTAAGTCGAACTAGGGCTTCACTTATTAATAATCATATGCCTGTAAAGGAAGAGGAAAGATTTGCGAATTTAATAAACGTCAATTCTCGGTGGATGTCATGAATAAAGAAACACTATGGTTATTGGATGAGGACAAGGTTATTATATTTTAGACTATTCTTTTGAAATTAACTTAATCAAAATCCTTATTGTTATGAGTACAGACGTTAACCATTTTGAGTATTCAACAGATCCTCATATCAAAAGAAACTCGTCGAAGATTCCTCTATTTTAGAAAACTGATTAAAATAGTAATATCAACTTGCTCCTCCGGATTTGCTCATATAATGATGGTAAAAAAATTATTTTTTTTCCAATGTATAATTAATCAATCTACTTATAAAAATATATATTATGCAGTTAGACTCCCCGTTGCTAGTATATCGAGTTTCGAAGCTGATTATTTGGATCATTCAGTAGCAAGGATGCTCGATCCTACTGGTGATGTTACGTGTAACTTCTAAACTATTTGGGGAAATGACTAAGCGATATTAGGCCGCAGTTGATCAACA